GTTGAGACAGACATGCTGAGCAGTCTGCTCGAAGCCATTTAAGTAAACAGCTTGTGAGGCCTTGTGTTTTCTTTTTAAGATGGAACTATAGAAGCAGCCTTAGTGGATGGGGTCAAGCTCCCACAGAACCAGGATTTTTAGTTTTACCTTTCTGCAGTTGCTGTGATCTTGAAACTAGATGTGTAAGGTCTTATTCCTCTCTCTGTTACAGCTCAAATCTGGGATTTTCTACCTGCCACTAGAATTGCATGTGATGCAATGTTTTTCTGAAATTGCCTTTGTCAAGGGTGTGTTTATGGGATGTTATGACATTGGAACAGATAATTAGTAGTAGATTATAACCATACCTTTATATAATATATACAGATCTTTATATCTTATTATTCTGTTAAGTATTTCAATAGTTATATTTAAGCCAATTCTTTTTATTTTGTCTGTATTTTAACTGTAGTATAAAAATAAAGTGTGTTTTGCTTAAAGTTCATAGTTTGACCATCAGATTGCACATGGAATGCAATGCTTTACACGTACCTTTAGAATAAGAGAAGGTTAGGGTCTAGACTATCTTCTTAATATATCTTTTGAGGGGGTTTGGTTTGGTCCATAACAGTTTGAATCCCACAACAGCAGCAGGTAGATTTTTGACCTCCATTGATAAATATGAAATATAGAGCTAGTCCCAAATTGCGTATGCATAAATATCGTCTCTTGCTGTGAAAATGTCTGCTTCACAAATATCCTTTAAGGGAGGAGATTCTTTTCATTCTTGCAAGGTCAGATCTACTCAACTTCAGGCCCACAGCAAAGTGATTGAACTACTCTCTGAAATCACCTAGTGAGCCACTCAGTTCAAAGGCAGGTAAGGATGGGCAACAGCTGCTGACCTTGCAAGCCTTTTATTTCTATTCGTTTTGTGGGATGTGGGCGTAGCTGGCTGGCCAGCATTTCTTGCCCATCCCTAGTTGCCCTTGAGAAGGTGGTGGTGAGCTGCCTTCTTGAACTGCTGCATTCCTCCTGCTGTAGGTTGACCCACAATGCTATTAGGGAGGGAATTCCAGGATTTTGACCCAGCGACAGTGAAGGAACGGCGATATATTTCCAAGTCAGGATGGTGAGTGACTTGGAGAGGAACTTGGAGGTGGTGGTGTTCCCATATATCTGCTGCCCTCATCCTTCTAGACGGAAGTGGTCGTGGGTTTGGAAGGTGCTGTCTGAGGATCTTTGATGAATTTCTGCAGTGCGTCTTGTACATAGTACACACTGCTGCTACTGAGCGTCGGTGGTGGAGGGAGTGAATGCTTGTGGATGTAGTGCCAATCAAGCGGGCTGCTTTATCCTGGATGGTGTCAAGTTTCTTGAGTGTTGTTGGGCCTGCATTCATCCAGGCAAGTAAGGAGTATTCTATCACACTCCTGACTTGTGCCTTGTAGGTGATGGACAGGCTTTGAGGAGTCAGGAGATGAGTTACTCACTGCAGTATTCCCAGCTTCTGGCCTGCTCTTGTAGCCACTCTGTTAATGTGGTGAGTCCAGTTGAGTTTCTGGTCAATGGTAACCCCCAAGATGTTGATAGTGGGGGATTCAGTGATGGTAACACCATTGAATGTCAAGGGGCGGTGGTTAGATTGTCTTTTATTGGTGATTGCCATAGCCTGGTATTTGTGTGGTGGGAATGTCTCTTGCCATGTGTGAGCCCAAGTCTGGGTATTGTCCAGATCTTGTCGCATGTGAACATGGACTGCTTCAGTATCTGAGGAGTCACGAATGGTGCTGAACATTGTGCAATCATCGGCGAACATCCCCATCTCTGACCTTATGATGGAGGGAAGGTCATTGATGAAGCAGCTGAAGATGGTTGGGCCAAGGACACTACCCTGAGAAACTCCTGCAGAGATGTCCTGCAGCTGAGATGATTGACCTCCCACAACCATGACCATCTTCCTATGTGTCAGATATGATTCCAACCACTGGAGCATTTGCTCCCGATACCCATTAATTCCAGTTTTGCTAGGGCCCCTTGATGCCACACTCTGTCAAATGCAGCCTTGATATCAAGGGCTGTCACTCTCACCTCACCTCTGGAATTCAGCTCTTTTGTCCATGTTTGAACCAAGGCTGTAATGAGGTCAGGAGCTGAGTGGCCCTGGCAGGACCCAAACTGGGCGTCACTGAGCAGGTTATTGCTGAGCAGGTGCTGCTTGATAGCACTGTTGATGACACCTTCCATCACTTTACTGGTGATCGAGAGGAGACTGATGAGGTGGTAATTGGCCGGGTTGGATTTGTCCTGCTTTTTATCTACAGGACATACTTGGGCAATTTTCCACATTGTCGAGTAGATACCACTGTTGTACTGGAACAGCTTGGCTAGGGGTAGGGTCAAGTTCTGTATCACAATTCTTCAGTACTATTGCCGGAATGTTGTCAGGGCCGGTAGCCTTTGCAGTATCCAGTGTCTCCAACCCTTTCTTGATATCACGTGGAGTGAATCGAATTGGCTGAAGACTGGTATCTGTAATGCTAGGGACCACTGGAGGAGGCTGAGATGGATTGTCCACTTGGCACTTCTGGCTGAAGATTGCTGCAAATGCTTCAGCCTTTTGCACAGATGTGCTGGGCTGTTACATCACCGTGGATGGGGATATTTGTGGAGCCTCCTCCAGTGAGTTGTTTAATTGTCCACCACCATTCACGACTGGATGTGGCAGGAGTGCAGAGCTTAGATCTGATCCGTTGGTTGTGGGATCGCTTAGCTCTGTCTATCACTTGCTGCTTTCGCTGTTCGGCGTGCAAGTAGTCCTGTTTGGTGGCTTCACCAGGTTGATAGCTTATCTTCAGGTATACCTGGTGCTGCTCCTGGCATGCTCTCGTGCACTCTTTTTTTGAACCAGGGTTGATCCCCTGGCTTGATGGTAATAGTTGAGTGGGAGATATGCCTGGCCATGAGGTTACAGATTGTGTTGGAGTACAGTTCTGCTGCTGTTGATGGCCCACAGCACCTCATGGATGCCCAGATTTGAATTGCTAGATCTGTGCGAAGTCTGTCCCATTTAGCACAGTGATTAGTGCCACACAACATGATGGAGGTTGTTCTCAATGTGAAGACAGGACTTTGTCTCCACAAGGACTGTGCAATGGTCACTCTTACTGATACTGTCATGGACAGATGCAACTGCAGCTGGCAGATTGGTAAGGATGATGTCAAGTATGTTTTTCCCTCTTGTTGGCTCCCTCACAGACCCAGTCTAGCAGCTATGTCTTGCAGGACCCGACCAGCTTGATCAGTAGTGCTGCCACCGAGCCACTCTTGGTGGTGGACATTGAAATCCCCCATCCAGAATACATTTTGTGCCCTTGCCATCCTTAGTGCTTCCTTAAGTGTTGTTCAACATTGAGGAATTCTGATTCATCAACTGTGGGAGGACGGTACGTGGTAATCAGCAGGCGGTTTCCTTGCCCATGTTTAACTTGAAGCCATGAGACTTCATGGCGTCCGGAGTCAATGTTGAGGACTCCTAGAGCAACGCCCTCCCGACTGTATACTACTGTGCTGCCCCCTCTGCTGGGTCTGTCCTGCTGGTGGGACAGGACATATCCAGGGATGGTGATGGTGGTGTCTGGGACATTGTTTGTAAGGTATGATTCTGTGAGTATGACTATGTCAGGCTGTTGCTTGACTTGTCTGTGAGACAGCTCTCCCCATTTTGGCACTAGCCCCCAGATGTTGGTGAGGAGAACTTTGCATGGTCGACAGGGCTGTTTCTGCCATTGTCTTTTCTGGTGCCTAGGTCGATGCCGGTTTCATTTCTTTGATTCTTTGTAGCAATTGGTACAACTGAGTGGCTTGCTAGGCCATTTCAGAGGACAATTGAGAGTCAACCTCATTGCTGTGGGCCTGGAGTCACCTGTAGGCCAGACCACGTGATGGTGGCAGATTTTCTCCCCTGAAGGATATTAGTGAACCAGATGGGTTTTTTTTCCGACAATCATTTCATTGTGATCAGTAGATTCTTAATTCCAGACTTTTTTTTTTGAATTCCAATACTACCATCTGCCGTGGTGGGATTCGAACCCACATCCCTAGAACTAGGTCCGCAACGTCAGCTTTCCTGCTCTACTGCTGCTTGGCCTGCTGTGTTCTTCCAGCTCTACACCTTGTTATATCAGATTCTCCAGCATCGGCAGTTCCTACTATCTCTCTCCCCAGAACATCAGCTGGGTTTCTGGATTAATAGTCTAGCGATAATACCACTAGGCCATCGCCTACTCCTCCACATCCCATGAAAAACTTTCAAAGAAGTTTTTTTTTAATTCACTTGGCATCAGTGGTTGGCCAGCATTTATTGCCCATCCCTAGGATATCAGAAGAGGCACAAAGTATACCAAAAACATGGTGTAAATTTGGTCAAGCTGCAACACAGGACAAATATTCATGATAAACTTAAACAGCATGCTATTAACACAGTTAAATGATTCCACCCTAACAAAGCATTGCAATTTTTTCACATCTCACCATAAACGATGGTGGATGCTTAAACATCAAAGAGGAGGAGCCTCCACAAACATCCCCAGCCTTAATAACAGCAAAGCCAAGTATATCACCACAGAAGACTTGGCTGAACATTAGGATTTCTGATTGTAGATCCTTGCAAAGTGGATGAATCATCTCGGCCTCCATCAAAATTCCCACTATTATATGTGCCAGTCCGCCAACAGAGCTTTTAAGTGTCATTTACTTATCCATAACCTACTAAGTTTCAGTCTGCCAGGACCATTCAACACCAGTCCTCACTGAAAATTAGTTCAAACATGAACAAAAAAAGCTTAATTCCAGAGCAGAGTTAAGACAAAAGTGCTGCATTTGACGGCATGTAGTATCAAAGGGCTAAACTCCAGTTAACAGAGCATAGTAGATGAAGGGTCAGTAAGAGGCATTGGAACAGTCAAATATCGAGGTAATAAATGTTATTTAACTTAATTTTCTCATTTTTTTCAACACAGGTGTTCAAAGGGCCTGACAGGAAAGGTTTCTACAAACATGCATGTTAGAAAATGAACATTTTTTTTGAGCAACTTTGAAGGAAGTGTAAAGCATGCTACTTCTGATGATCTGGAATATAGCATTAAAAACCCCAATTTAAGGTTTAGTGTTTACTGGTAAGGTAGATTTATGCAAAAACTTAACCTTATTTGATTAATAGGAACATTACTGCATTATAGTAACTTCTGTGCACTGCTCAAATTTTTCTACTTTGTATGTGATAGAAATGACAAGCACGTGTGATTTTTCTGTATATTACGCCTTGTTCCTCAGCTGAAAATCTTCATAATGCAATCTATGGAATGAGTAGTCAAGAAAAGTAGTGTGATACACAATTTCATGTGGACATGAGCACCATATCCACTCATCACTCAAGACTTTGATATTTTCAGCTAGCATAATGTGTTAAAAATGTAGACAAAATTGCTTTTGAACATTAATCTTAAGATGTATTTGGTTTGTGATGAGAAAACTAGACCTGCAAACTATTAGAAACATCCAATTTTTTAATGTTTTCTCAATACAAATTATTTATTATTATATCTGTTGAAGTAAATAGCATAGATGTATTTGTAGAGAAGCTAGATGAGAATATGGAGGGGAAGGGAGCAGAAGGACTTACTTAATTAACATTTCGGGTCCGGTGACCCTTCCTCAGGAGGATCTGAGGAAGGGTCACCGGACCTGAAACGTTAACTCTGTTTTTTCCTTCACAGATGCTGCCAGACCTACTGAGCTTTTCCAGCAACTTTGTTTTTGTTCCTGATTTACAGCATCTGCAGTTCTTTCAGTTTTTATTTAGAAGGATTTATTTGTAGGTTTAGACGACAAGGAGTGAAAAGATAGTCATGTGGAGAACAAATATTGCTAGACCATCTGGGCTGAACAGCCTGTTTTTGTGTGGTAGACTGTAATTCAATGCAATTTATGTAAACTCAAATCATGAAAGGAATTGAATGTTGAAAATAATTTGTAAGAGAATATTGACAAATTACTGGTTCCCTTTCAACGATAGCTGTCAATGCATACTATCTTGGTTAATTCTTAAAACAATCGTGTTGGTACCTTCTCAAAGCAAGCTTCACTTTTGTTAACTTACTTTTTTTCTGAAATACGCTCCATTCCATTTACTTTTCACATTTATTGTATTAGGATAGAGATTGTTCTGCAATTCATTTGTTGATGTGTACTTCCTATGAATATACTTTTCATATAATAAGCATTTAAATATATTGTTCTAATTCAGAATGGGATACTACAGCTATCACAGTTACAATTAGTGCAGTTGTTAAATCAATGATTCAAAGTTCAGTGTGAAAAACAGTCTGCAAAATAGACTTTTATAGCTTCAATTACGTATTAGAATCAAGCAATACATTCTTATTTTCAAAAAGACAAATAATTCTTGTTTAAAATTATTTGCAGAATGTATCATGTATTTTAAAGACAATAATAAAACTATAGAGCAACTATATTTTGTTGTATTTAAAATTGTGTTTTGACTTAATCACATGGTTAAAAACCATTTCATTGGTCTGCTATACTGAGATTCACAAAATATAAAAATATCATTCTTCACAGAAACTACTATCCCACCTTGAAAACTATGTGAATTTGAAAGAACTATCTAATACTTGAAAGAAACAAAGACTAGCATGTCAAACAATGCAATACATAAAGCTGATAATTTGTGGTGTCTTAACGATTAGACTCTACATATATTTTCAAATTATTTTTACAAATGTTTTAAGGGCGTCTTTACCATTAGATTAATAAATCTAGTAGTCAGGTCCTGCAGCAGACTTTTAAAATGTTACTTTGACCACATAAGACTGCAACTATGACACCATTTTGTTTGAGATTAATACGACAAATTTACAGAAGCAATGTATCAAATTCAAACAAATGAAAGATATACCATGGTTTAATTATACAGAAAGTACTGACAATGCTTTACATCTGTCAAGTTTAAAACGCATGCTTAATGGGCAAATAACTTTGTTCTTCCCTTACCTATATATATATATATTTCTTAGCTGTTGAATTTGCAATATTTATTTATTTTTTGTTTTTGACTCCTCCCTCTCCAAAACACTGTCTCAATTGAATACTTTTTCTTCTTTACTTCCCCAACTTATTTATCTTTCATGTAGAAGCAGTTGCTTCTGCAGCTACATACTCAAGAATGCACTCCTTTCATCTCCAACCACATTCTTCAAGCCCAACATAATCCTGTCTCCTTCTTCTGCTCAAATGTAAATGTCAGTTTCCTTCAGCAACTATATGTAAAATGCTGTGAGATTTTCTTAATACTTTGTCCTGCCATTCCTGTGTTTCTGTTCATTTTTTTTTTGGTGGGATTGGTCTGTACGGGCGGTTGCCTTAATGCACAAACATATTCAGTGATAGTAGGAACTGCCGATGCTGGAGTCTGGGACAACAAGGTGTGGAGCTGGATGAACACAGCAGGCCAGGCAGCATCAGAGGAGCAGGAAAGCTGACATTTCGGGTCTGGACCCTTCTTCAGAAAAAAAAAATGCAGGTGAGTACAGAAATAAAAGAATTGGGCAGATGAATGCGTGGCTGGAAAAATGATACAGGTGGAAGGGCTTTAGATTTCTGGAACTGGCTCTGGGGAAGTTAACATCTGTACATACCAGATGGTTTGCATCTGAACAGAGTAACGTCTAATTTCCTTGTGGAGTGTATTGCTACTGCTAATGGAATGGCTTTAAACTAACTTGGCAGGGTGTGGGAACCAAGAAAGAGTATTAAAGAAGAATACTATTGCTGTGTTTATCCAGCTCTACACCTTGCACAAACATATTGTTGTTAGATAGGATCAGAGTGAAGTTTCTAATTTCCACGATGCATACATTTTATGCACATAATATGTCATCTGAGTTATATAGGATCTTTTTCAAGAAGATTGTTACACACTGTCAGTAATCATGCTGTATTCTACAACTTATGGTTACATGGGACAGGTTGAAATTTACAGTATCCGTGATTAAGCGCACACTCTCAAATCCACAGTATTTTCCCAAACAGCTGGAGATCTTCAACACTTAGAAATAGATGCAAAAATTACAGTGCCAGGACTGAGGCAGAATTTGAATTCCAAGCTGCATGTAGACAGTGAAGATGAAATACATTTCAAGAAGTACTGGCATCAATTTTAAGAATAACTAATGATTTCATCACTACCTATTTATACTGTTATGTTGTAAATATTATTTCTATGATTGCTATAGGATAGAATTCCAAGATGTGGTTGGGACCACATTGAAAAATAAATTCTCCAGTATAACATGAATGACTTGATGCACATTATTTTGAATTGCCTGTTACTTTATGGAATGTATATTTCAGAAAATTAGAACAATTGCTGTGAGAAAAGAAATGCCTTTACTCTGTAGTTTAAATAACCACAACAATTCTATATCAAAAAAACTCCTCTAGTGTGAATGTAACAAAACTAGAGTTCAACAATCATGCCACTGTAGTACTGATCTCTGGATTTGTTCTCAAAAGCCCTCCACTTTTCTCTCCAGTGCTACAACCTCTTCAAAACATAAAGAAAACCTCCAGGAAAGGGAAAATTCAAAAGTAGCAAGGAAAGCAGAGTAAAAATAAGCAGTGGGTTAGAAGGTGAAAGAAAGAGGTGAAATGAGAGAAATTTTAAACGGATTAAAGCTAAAGGTATTATACCAGAATATGCAAAGCCTGTACAATAAATGAAATGAATTAATAGCACAGATAGAAATTAATAGATTTGACTTGATAGCCATTAGCGACATATTTGTAAAGTGCTTAAAATTGGAAAGTAAATAACCTGGTTTCTCTTTCTCTATTTCTACTATCTTGCCTCAGAAAATGATGACATAGAATTAGTTTGGGTAAAGCTAAAAAGCAGCAAGGGTCAGGAAACATTAGAGGGTGTTGTTTACAAGTCCCCTAACAGAAGCTGTAGTGTAGGACAAAGTATAAATCAGGAAATTAAAAGGAAATGTGACCAAGATAATACAGTATTGATGAGGGGCTTTAATCTTCATACAGACCAAGCAATCCAAATTTGCAAAAATAGTGGTGAGGACACATTGATGGAATGTATGCAAAATTGTTTTCTAGATCAGTATGTCAAGGAACTAAGCTACTTTGGATTGAGTTCTGTAGAATAACAATACCTGACTTGAAATGTTAACTCTAATCTTTTTGCAGATGCTGCCAGACCTGCTGAGTATTTCCTGCACTTTCTATTTTTATTTTGGATTTAATATTTCATTTGGTTTGAAACCTCCCCTCCATCATAAGGTCAGAAGTGAAACATTCGCTGATGATTGCACAACGTTCAGCAATTTGTGACTCTACAAATAATAAAGCAGTCCATGTCCAAACGCAGCAAGACCTGGACAATATCCAGGCTTTGGCTGAAAAGTGGCAAGTAACATTAGAGCCATACAAATGCCAGGCAGTGACCACGTCCAATAAGTAACAATCTAACCATTGCCCCTTGACATTTGTTGCAGTTACCATCACCTAATACCCCACTAGCAACAACCACCTGTTTACTAATTATATACCTGAAGCAGACTTGGGCACTCCCTTTTATGTTAGCTGCCAGATTCTCTTCATACTGTCTCTTTGCTTCTCGTTCCTTTTAGTGTTCCCCTCTGAACTTCCTGTATTTCTGTCTCTTTGGTCATCGAGGTAAGGTCTGAATTTGTTTGTTCTAGTTTACCACTTTTTATAGCCTGGGCTGCAGCTATTTACAAATCCGTTTTTAATGATTTGTATGAAGGAAATAAGTGTAATGTATCCAAGTTTTCAGATAATACAGGACTATCTGAAAAAGTAAACATTGAAGAAAACTAAATGCTGTAGCAGGATATGGATAGGTGGGTGAATGGCCAAGAACATGACAGATGGAGTACGATGTGGAGAAATGTGATTTTTTTTTTGAATAGTGAGACACTGGACAAACTTGCATTCAGAGGAATCCAGGCATACTGTTCTTTTACACAAATTAATTGTACACCAACAAGTACTTGGTTATGGTTGGGGGAATGTAGGTTGGTGGCTGGAGATGGTTAGATTAGGTTGAGGGGCGGGGTAGTTTGTGGATGTTGTCATGTATGGTCAGGATTCTGGTCAGTTTTGGGAATGGGGAAGCTAGTTGGTTGCGTGTACACCACAGCACTCATGCTTGAGAGAGGCTCCTTCAATATCTCTGCAAGCCATGTAGCCCTGAGCATTCTTTGCTGCTGTTCCAGAAATATCCTCTTCATCGACAGCCCCCAAGATCAGTGTCTGTATCCAGCAGGCGGAGAATGGAATGTCCACTGCTGTGGATATTTCTTCACCGTGTACGCTTGCAAACCTGTGATGTGCAACTCACCAGGCATAAACCCAACTGTCAACCTTACTGATCCCACCAAAGTATAAGTATCTGAGGTAGTGCATGAATCTATTGGCATACATCATCAAAGTGTATGATCTCCTCTCAGCAGTTGTTGTATTCCTGTTGTACCACCTTATGCAGGATGCTTGAGGGTCCTGTGATAACCTAAAACCATGAATTATACTGTCAAGGTAAGATGTTCAGCACTCATTATGTTAATGCTCTTATTTCACTCCCTGATGCTATCAATAAGAATGATAGTTAATTCTATGTCCTCATTGGAGACCTGATCCCACCTTACCCTATATCTATGGAGTACTAACCCTCCAGCTTTACGTAATCAATTGTCTCTCTCCAATGGAGAGAGATGATACAATTCTCTGTGGGCTATGACTCTGTACCACCAATTCCGTGTCCAGTTGGCCCATTCAATTCCTCAGGCCTGCTGTACCATTCAATAAGATCCAGACTGATCTGACTGTGGCCTAATTCCACTTCCCTAATACACACCCTCCCCATCCTCATCTTATCCTTGTCCCCTTTGTCAGAAGTCACATGACATCAGGTTAGAGTCCAACAGGAGTCTCACCTCTCACTCACCTTAACTCCAATGTGTTGAGGCCTAACCTGCTGAGCCTTTCCTCATAACCATTTCATCCCAGGAATCAACCTAGTGTATTTTCTCTGAGCTGCCTCCGATGCAAGTGTAACACTCCTTAAATAAGGAGATCAAAACAATTGCGGTACTCTAGATATGGTCTCCCCAATGGCCTGTGTAGTTGCAAGTAGACTTCTGGATTTTATATTCAATCCTCCCTTCATTAAAGGCCAACATTTTGTATTGCTTCTTAATTGTTTGCTATATCTGCATGCTGACTTCTTTGTGATTCATGTATGAAGACACCCAAATCCCACTTTACTGCAGCATTCAGTTATATTTTTCCATTAAATGATATTCTGCTTTTATAGTCTTCCAAAGTGAATAATAT